CAAATTAAAAATGAAGGGTACCTATAAAAAATAGAAAATGTTCACCTGCTAATATACTAATCATTAATTTTATGTTAATAGATATATAGCTACATCTATGCATGGTGATAAATCTCAACAAGACAGAGATCATGTATTGAATGAATTTAGGAACGGTAAATCGCCAATCCTAGTTGCTACTGATGTAGCTGCTCGAGGATTAGGTATATTTAAATCCAATAATTTTATTTTTGTAATGAAGTATTCAAAATTCTAACATAATTTCTGTATGAATTAGATGTTGATGATGTCAAATATGTAATCAATTTTGATTACCCCAACTCATCAGAAGATTATGTACACAGAATTGGCAGAACAGGCCGTTCCAAACAAGCAGGAATTGCTTATACATTCTTTTCTACAAATAATATGCGGCAAGCCAAAGATCTTATTTCAATTTTGGAAGAAGCTCATCAAGTAGTCCCAGAAGAACTCATTGAAATGGCAAATATGGCAAAAAATCATATGTCAAGTATGTATAAATAACCTAAATACTCTTATTTATAGCTAGTCTTGTTTAGAATTAAATGAGTTAATAGTTGTTTCAACGACATGAATATAGTTAATCAATTTTTTTTTACAAATAATTGATATAAATTTTGTCGTAATAGTAATAAATGAGGATTTAATTAGCCCCATTTGTACTTTTCAAATGGGACCAGTCCTCCTCAAACAAGATTTTTTTTTTATTGAGTAAACATTAAATACATAGAAATTTTAAATAATGATTTTAACGACATGAATATAATTAATCAATTTTTTTTTACAAATAATTGATACACATTTAGTCGTAATAGTAATAATTGAGGATTTAATTAGCCCCACTTGTATTTTTCAAATGGGACCAGTCCTCCTCAAACAGGATTTATTTTTTGTTTAATTAATTTAAATAATCAGAGATTACAAATAATGATTGTAACGACTTAATTATAATTTATCAATGTTTTTTTTTTTAAATCTTGATACAAATTTTGTCGTAATAGTAATAATTGAGGATTTAATTAGCCCCATTTGCACTTTCCAAATAGGTCCAGTCCTCCTCAAACAAATTATCTTAATTTTATTATAGGTAGTTTTCAAAGTAATATGTATAGGTATTATAAATGTATTGTTGTGGGTCTAATTAGCCTTATTTTAATTAACAAATGTATGTAATCGCCTTTAAATCTATTTTTTTTTATTCAATAATATTGTAATAATTTCAAGACAGTATAGTGAGAAGAAGGTGTACACACAAGAAACTGACCCGTATTAAGAATAAAAACTGAAGTATTTAAATTATTGAGAAAGAAACTCTTGCTATTGAAATAAAAATTTTAAATTGATAGTTAGTAAATAAATTAGGGAATTTTTAGTTATTACCAGGATTTGAGTCTTGTAGCATTTATGAGCACTTAAGAACTTCAAAGAAATTTATTTTTAATAAGTTATAAACTTTTTTTAGTTTTTTTAAATATTTTAACTTCCTTGTAATAGTTATAGGTTTTCTAAAAAATATATTTTCAAACACAAAAGCCCTTCCTATTTTTTTAAAAGTTTAAAATGAACACTCAACATTCATGGTTGTGATTGAGATGTATTTAAAGTATTATCACTGAGTAGTCATTAGAAAATTCTCTGAAGTCTGTTAATTCACTGCCATCTTTATCATTAGGCATTTTCTTTTAACACCCAAGGCAATTAATATTTTTTTTAAACTTTTTTAGTTTTGTTTGAACTGGTTTTATATTTTTAATAACAGCAAGTAAATCAGATAAAACATTTCTTTATTATTGCTATGTTATTTTTAGGTCGAGCTAAGTGGACTAATCGTTATCGTGATGTAAACACACCACTAGCTACTCAATCTCCTTATGGACAATCTAATAATGCTAGAACTGCTAATCCTAACTACACAAATGGGTCTGGTTATGGAGGAGGCGGGGGCTATGGAAATAACTTTAACAGTTATAATAATGGAGCCACCAACTATACTAATGGTGGAACTTTTGGAAGTGGTCAAAACTATCAAAATAAAGGTTATAATAATGAACACAAAAATGGAGCATATCAATCGGGAACAGGCAGTATTCCTCGTAATGTACCCAAATTCCAAAATCCACAATATCAAGCACAACAATATAATGGAAATCCTGGTCAAAAATATGGACAAAATCAGGTATGATATCAATCAATGTATACTTTTTAATTGCCTTAATTTTATCTTCATTATCAATTTAGTACTATGAAGCTAATGTATCACTTAATAAATTAATTGAAGCAACAAAAGTCATCTGGCTTTTTTAAATACAATATTAAGTTTTATATTTTTTATACCAATTATAGAACACTGTTGGCTATAACCGTGGTCAAAATGGTTACACTAATAATCCCCGTGCCAACTATCAGCCAAATCGTTTCAATCAACAACGTCAGTTTTCTAATATGGCTGACATGTATGCAAGTACCTTGCCACCACAGTATGTGATGAATAATACCGGTGATGCTTCCATACAGCCTCTACTTACACACAAGTTCTTTCAACAGAATCGCCCCCCAACAGCTACTCAAGAAGCATTTCCAAATGGTTACACCGCCGTGCCGCAAGCAGGTTATCCATACTATGGCCAACCACAAACAGTCCAACAGTAAACTAAATATAAAATATAATATAAATAACGATTGTGACTTCTTCAAAAAAAAATTTTTGGATTTAGGGGCTAATTTTTTTTTCTTCCAGTGTTTAATTGCAAAATGAAGTCACATTCCAAATTTAACTAATAAAGTTAACTTTATTGCTAATTATCTATTATTATAATCTAATACTTTCTTTTGAAATGCACAGTAAACTTGAAACATCCAGAAGAAATGCATAATATATATATTGACAAAATATGGTTACTTCCTAACCTAAAGTAAAATATTTAAACTAGTCTTATAAAAAGTATAAAGAAATTGTGTTTTATACGAATATTTAGACAATTCGAATGAGTTCCTTTTTTTCTTTTTGCCAAGGGTCAATTTTTTATAACAAGTCCATGTAAATTGTATAAAACTCGATAAAATTAACATTATGATATTAATTTTTATTTGTCTTATTAATTTATATTGTAAAAAATAATAATACTCGATCTGTGATATTTGTTAAACGATGTATAGCGCGATGTTCCCTAATTTAGATTTTAAGGGATTTATTTAAAACGATAAACAAAACAAATTAAAGAAAAATGTGTTTTAGATATATTTTTCTGTGGCATCTTTAACAAATCTGGGGGAAATGGAAAGACTGATGTGAAAAAAAATTCGTATTTCTATTTATTTATAAAAATGCGGAAAGCTACTAAAGTTTTGCGTAGTGGTGCAATATAATATAATATGTCGACCAATAAAAAAAAACGTCTCGGATTTTTTTTTTCTCCAACTAAATCATATTTGTGTATCATATTGTTATTTTATTGAGATGTTTTCTTTTTATTATTCTATTTTTTTCTTTTTATAATAGTGATCAAAGAAAAGTTTTAAGGTTTATATTATTATTAATAATAATAATTATAATAATGTGTAAGTTAACATTATTATTATTTTTTTTTTTTGTTTTTTGTATAAGCTCTATATTACGTGACCCAATTTGTCGATAAAAATAAAAATAATGGCGTTTGAATTAGAACCAAGAACGCATATTATTAAAATAAATAAATAAATAAATACTGAATGTTCTTCTGTAAGTTTCTACATTAAAGTGCATTTCTTTTATTCATGCTATTGTTTTTTTTTTTTTTTTTTATATATATATTACATAATAATAATAATAATATATTTAAGTACATAAATCTGTTTATCTTTTGCTCTATTCATCGATATTTATAATTTCAATTGTGTTATTAAAACACGAGTAAAATAATATATAATATTATAATATTGATCGTATTTAAGTAACCACATTCATATATATGATAAGTAAATATATGTCTCGACTTTGATTTTTTTTTATATTACCATCGTTTGTTATTAATGATGACGATTAGAAAAAACTTTAAAATTGTATCAAATAACAAATATTTTTTTTTTTTTTTGTTGCTTAAATAGACAGGGTTGATCATTTTTACATAATTCATATTTGCACTTTATCAATAGGTATTTTTCGTGTTGAGATATTAATCGATTTAAACTCGTAAATCTGTCATGAAACTTGAATTTAATCTCTCAAAGAATGATGATGAGAATAAACTGTTTGTTTTGTTTTGTTTTTTTTTTTTTTTTTTTTATTATTACGGATTAATTAGTAGTCATATTCGTAACTCACGTCTTGAAAATATATTATTTATTATTTTATAAATCTTGTTGTTTAAGTTGTGTTCATTGTGTTTATATATACACTTTGGCTATATACTTTTTAGAATATCTTACGACACTATGAATGATAATTATTTTTAAGTTTAAATTACTTATACATAAAGTGATTGGTAATATTTGTATTGTAATGGTGATTCGTTTTTTTTTTTTTTTTTATGTTAAGAGTAGAATATTATGCACTCAGTAAATTTCTATGATGTAAAAACGGATTTCCGGTATAGAGACTATATTTGCCAACATTATATATTATAATATAATAAATCATAACTATTAAAACTGAAAACTTTTTTTCGTATCTGTCCTAAATACCTTACTGTTGTCAGATCGTAAAATATGAAGTGATTTTGTGTTTTATCCGAAGAACATAAAAACACTTGTGTTTCTATTAAAGCTGTTTTAAAGGTTAAATGATTGAATTGATCCCACACCTTTTCGAGTTACAAAATGTGTAAATATTTGAAAAGTAAATTCAAAGTATTCGCATATCATATAATAATTGTAATTATTTATGGTAGCGATTCAAATATGTGTGGTGCCGATTTAAAGTGTTATAAATATTACTTTAAAATTATATTTAAAATGCATAATAAAACTATTTCAAGTATGTTAAATAATCGAATTACATAATGATAAATAACTTGTCTTGTTTCTTTTCTTTTTTTTTTTATCGCAAAATTTTGACAGACTAATATACTTTGTATGGATATACTTTAATCGTCTAAACGATTAAATTATTCCATTTACAAAATTTAAAATTTTGAGTGCTGACATGTCAATATTATATATTTTTCATAATCTTGTAATTATTTGTATACGTTTTTTAAAATGAGTTCTGTTAAATCCAATCAAGTTATAGAAATCGATTTGTCGGAAGTAATACACAAGCAGTCCCTCTAGCTTCATCGGTTCAAAACTGTAAAAAAAATATTTGTTTTAAGATAAGATTATGGATCATGTATTCATGTGTATGCCGTAATATGGTTATAATATATGTATTACAATTTACAAGGACAAAGTTGAACGATTTTTCCAGGAAGTTTCACATAAATTCATAATTCCTTGAAATTATCATAATCAGCGTGTAAGTCATCTTGAAGTAAATTGCGTGAAAATTTAAATCTACAGTGAAATTAACTACCTACAGAGATTTCCGAACAAAAAGAATCTTAATAATTTATTAGTTTCCTTTCAAACAAAAAAAAAAAAAACAATCTCAATTGCTTCAATGTTTGTAAGATAATAATAATTAATGATTGAAGCTTCTAAAAGATAAACTGTTTTAGTGTTATCTGTTGTCACACAAGGGATTTCCGAGGAATACTGATATCTTTGAATACCTTTAGTATATTCATAAATAATTCATTGAATAATTCCAATTTTATAAAAATTTAATAAGCATGCAATTCAAAAAAAGTTCTTGCTAATTATATAAGTTTAATTTTTAATTCGGCGCTTAAAAAATATTTATAACTATTTAAGACGGCGATAAAATATTAAACAATACAATCAATCTGAACTAGCTGTAACATACATGATAATTGTATATTAGAGGACGTGTAAGCACATAATTATGAGTCATTAAGAAAACTTTCAAATAAGAGAGACGGGCGTAGAATTTAAAGGTGGCTCGAACTTTGTTGACTCCGCCCTAGGTTCATTATTGTACGACACCGATTGAATATCAGATAATAAACATAATTATGTATGCTTTAGATATCTAAAAAGTATTGTTGTCATATTACGTTATATTTCTATTTCGTGTTAAATATTAAAAAAAAAAAAATCTTAGAACGATAATAACTAATATAATTTTAATTAAATATTAATATCTAAATTTTTTACCCATAATAACCACAGATTAAAGTAGTTTTTGAGTTATTTAACTATAACTTTATAACTTATAAGTCATCATAACTCATAAGTATACTAGTTACCAAGGCTGGGGAGTTGTAGTCTTGCAGGAGTTGCATATTGTTTTCTATACTCTCGGTTTACAGCAGACTGAGCTAAAAATCCAAAATATACTATGGTAAGTTTAAAATTATATATTTTGTATATTACGTCTATTTTAGAAAAAAATGTATATTTCAATGATTTACATACGCATTTTTAAAAAAAATTGGTTCAGTTTATCAGTTTGTCTTAATCTACGTATTTTAAATAATATTAAAAATAAAACTCATTATTGTATTTTACGTAAGTAGTTAATTATTAATAATTATTGCCGAATATTAATTTGACGACAACGGTGCGATGTCCATTTAATCCATATCACACTAATATGCCGAAATATTATCTAGTCCATAACTTACCAACCTAACTTAATTTAAATCTATCTTTTATTCATTTGTAAATTTATTGTACACAATAATTAACGTTTTATACAGTTTATTTTTAAAATACTTTCCAATTTGAAAAGGTATTATTTCTTTAGTAATTTTAAATATTTTTTGTACATTTTACATTCTTTCATGGATATTTTACAATTTTTTCATGCACGTTTTGTCTGTTTTTGCTCCTATAACTTTAAATCCTTGTCAAGCCCGGACTGGGCCACTGTGCTACTGTTCTATAGCACAGTGGGGCGCACGCCTCAATTTTTTAATAAGATACTTGAGTTTTTTTAAACAATGAGCAAAAACAAAAAGGTCTTTTTTTTATATTTTATCTGTGGGCCTATGGGCCGCCTGCTTACTGAGAATAGTAGACCGATATCCTGCCAATCCGGTCCTGATCCTTGTTATAATTACTCAGGATAATCTATCGGTCCGTGATAAAATGGGTTTGAAGGATTGGGTGGCTATTAAAATATAATTTCATGTTTGATAATTTTAGTAAATAAATCACTTAATTATCTAATTTATGTGATTAGTAAAAATTTTCCAAGTACCTATAATAAATACTTATCCATTTCATATTTTTGCCAAATCTATTATCCTTTTTAAAAACATTTTAATAACTGATAAACTATCAAATTTTGAATTGAGTAAACCAAAGTTTTCAAAAAAAATTATCGACTAAACGATGTACTTTAAAAAAAAAGTAGTTGTATTATTAGAAATAGAAGTTTTTATTATCTTAGGACACTCCTGAAGTATTAAATACAAAATATCTTGACAATTTGAAAATATTGACTCTTAGTATATTAAAAATTCCAAAGATCAGAATTTAAATAAGTTGAAAAAGGGAAAACGGAGGTAAACATGGTTAGCGAATAACTCTGTGTATAAAGTACCTATATATAGAGTGATCAAAATTTAAGTAAATAACAATTTCTATGTATCATTCATAGCAAAGTTTTTTTTGTCGTTAATCATTATTAGCAGTTAACACATCGACGATAGACATTACGTTTATACGTGTTACGTGTACTTACATTATTAACATTATTTATTCTTAAAACATAATTTTAGTTTATAATTTTTAATACATAAATACATAATACTATTATTATATTATATATTTATACATAAAAAAAAAAAAAAATTATTAATTATACTTATTAAAATGTTAACTTTTTTTACTTTTCTTCTAGTTATAGTTAGGTACTAGTTTTATTTTTTCCAAAATATTAAATTAATACCGTAATAATATCTAGGTATACCTACTTAATATATATATAATATAATTAATTATATCATTGCTTACAGACCTAAAGCTAGAATGTGGAATATGTGGATTAACATCTCATCAATCATCAATTATTATAATAGGTATAATTTATATGTATATTGTACCTAGTATCAGTGCAATAAACTAGACATAGGTAATAAATAATTTTATAATAATGTGATGTCTAATTAATTTTTATTGCAATATATATTTTTAGTTTTTATTTGAGATTCCGTGGTCGATAGATCTTTAAACTTCCAAATATAAAAATAATTAGCCTTTGTTTTGTGCGTTGAGCTTTTGCAGTTTCATTTTCATGAATCAAACTTCTAAGCGCTTGAAGCTTAAAGCTTGAACATATCGTTGTTAAATTTGAGGTTATCGGTTCAATATTAATACTACAGAATAATTTATTCTTTATTCTGTGTTATTATTACCGGGGCTAATAGATTAATAGATTATAATTTATTATCAGGCCATTCAGGCTTCTAAATTTTAATCAATAATTCATTATTCTCAATTTTATTGTTTAAAAAACTTTTTTCAATACATTGTCAGATTGTAATTTTTTTGTAACTTTTTTTTTAGATAATGTTTTGTTTTAATTAATTACTTGAAAATGGTCAATAACTGTTCTGTTAAAGGTTGCAAGTCCAAAGCTGGTCAAGGTATTAAGTTTCACAGGTATTTTATTATACTGTATAATATATTTTATTGGCAAGTGTTGATTTCGCATTTTGATTAGAAGTTTAAATACTTATATTTCGCTATGTAGAGACAGAAACTGTCACCTATTTTTATTCATTAACTTTTATTATGTTTTAATTAAAATATTTAGACTTCCTAATGGCAAAATTCGAGAGTCGTGGATTAAATTTCTCAAGAAATACAACCCTTTGTTTATGCCAACATGTCATTACATTAATATTTGTGGGCTACATTTTTTATCTGATTCGGATTATGAAATTACACCTACTAGTATTTTTCAAACTAAACGTTTGAAAAAAGTGCTGTACCTAGTATTTTTAACCAAAGTAAGTTGTTTATTAATGCACATGTTATCTAGAATTATATATATATATATAAAAAATGGTAAAAACAAATAAATATTTTTACAAATTATGTTTAGATGTTTGTAGATCATTATTTCATAAGTCAAATCGAGAGTTTCACTGTGATACTGTGTAATCATGATGCAGAAAAAGAAGTTATGACATTGTCGTTGTCTGATATATATGCTGAACAACCCTCTGTACCACCTACTATTACTATACCTTGTATGCTATTCAATGTTATTTTGTGTTTATAATTGAGTACTTACTATCATGAATATAGTTTCAGTAAAATATTACTGGAACATATAGTATCACCAAAAACTACTGTTCAAAATAAGATTACAGTTTCACCTGCTCCTGTTAAACAAAATATAAATGTAGTTTTGCCTGCGTTTCTACAAAACACAGTTGAAGAAAAGTGTATACCAAATAAGTGAGTTGTGTAAATTCATATAATATCTATATATTTTATTTTTATGTCTTTATATTGTTACATTACTTATTTAACTGTTTCAGTAAAAGGAAGTGTTTTATGGGTGATTTTAAACACCCTAGTGATATTGATAGCCCAAATAGTAGGTTAAAATATTGGATTGCCTCACAGTCAACTGTGACTAAACAAAAAAAGAAAATAAAGTTTTTAGATAAACAAACAGTGAATTTGAAAAAAAAATTAAAGAAATTAGAAAATTTAATAGACCAACTTAAAAATGAAAATAAAAAGGATTCCTACAATCAAATTACAGTTTCTAAAGTATTTATATATGTTATAATATTTATTTGAATAATTCTTCATTGCTTTTCGTGTAATTTTATTTATTTATTCTAATTTTTCAAAATGTTTAGAAATTAATATTATCATCCAGTCAACATGAAATTTACATGTCCATGTGTAAACCAATATGAAGAATCATTTTATAGCCATAAGACATAAGAAAATTTAAATCTATGAAGATAAAATGTATTTTTTACATCTGATCAACAATATGATGTAGTAAGACAGCAGATGTGTAAGTTTAAAAAAATGTATTAGATTATGATTATTATTGGCTTGCATTTATTTTTAATTTTACTTTAAAATCAATAAAAATGTCACAAAGAGATTATTTTGATTATAATATTATGTTTTTATTACATATAATAAGGTACTTTTTTGTTATTTTGTCACCTCACTGTAATAAATTTATCATCATGCCACTCTTAGTGTTATTATCGTTCCATAACATGGTTCCTTATCAATCAGAAAAAATATTGTTACTCATCTTACAAAAAATTTTAAAATTAGGATTTATAATATGTTATTAAATCGTTAGAAAACCTACATCAAGTTGGATTCTATTATAATACCGCACGTAATATTGTTGATCTGTATGTAGGGGCACAAACTAAAATCATTAAGACATTTGTAAACTTCTGTTTATGGGGCAAAAAAAATCATGAAACCAAAAACACTGGATTTTTTTTTGACAGAATTCATGTGAATAATATAACTTAATGGGAAAAATCTTTTTAAAACTATTTTAAATTATGAACCTATTAGTAGAGTCCTAGCTTTCATTATAATTACTTACATTTATTTAATTATATTTTTTGTATTTATCTACAGTAATTCAGTACATTTTTTATTTTTTAATGTACTTTTTCCATAATTATCATAACATATTATGAAATATTGGAACTTATTGTTTACTTGTTTAAGGCTATAATAAATAAGTATTCATATTTAAATGATACTAAATAATTTAAAATGAAGTACATTGTAACTAATTTATTTTACTTTTTTAAGGTTCTATTGATCAACCAGGTTAAGATTTCAGTAGATGGGATTAGAATGAATGTTTACAGTGTTTTTATTTTCTTTTTGTTTTCATAAGAGTTAACAGGAATGTTTTGGTAAGGTTTAAAATTCTCCTTATTTAAGAAAAAAAATAATAATAAATTTTGAATTAGCTTCTTTACCTCCTATATAGCCTTATTTTTTTTAGATTTATAAACTATGCAATCAAATTAACATTTACAAATTATGATGTTAATAATAAGTTTTTACTATAAATGCTTGTTTATAGAATGTAGCATATGCCATCCCATTGCCCATTTGTATAATGGCCAATGGGTTAATGGGAATCTTTATTCTATACAGTTGAAATATAGATAAGTTATGTTTTTAATAGGCTATCAATTTTCTATCTGGTTATTCATGTATAAGAAAGAAAGACTTAAATTACATATAACTCTAATTGTGTATAATATAATGTAGTTATATATTTATTGCAGGTGTCTGTTTGACCAGACAAACGGTTGGAAACTATAGCAATTTGCTTTAGAAACAAATTTATAATTTTCTTCTTATACATTGTGATCTATGAAAAGATAATATATTGGATTCAATACAGTTATAAAATTGTCTGCAAAGGTCAGAATTATTAATGCACTATTGTAAGAATAATAAAGTTATTAAATAAAACAAGTATGCAAAAATGCATAAAATATAGTGTTTCTCCTTTCATTTTTGTCTTAAAATGTACTGAAATAATTTAATTTCTGAACATGTTTTTTTAATGAGTATTTTTGTATAACAA